GTCCCCAGGAAATGCCATACCTGTCCCTCCCCAGTGAAAGGCGAGGATGGGGTGCTGTAAAGCCTCAGCCCCTGCTGCCTTGTGGGTGCCCCATGGAGGGGAGAGGCTAGGGGGGCACACCCTGACAGAAAAGTACAGGGGCCCAGGCCCACTGAGTGGAGCCTGAGGCAGGGTACAGGCACACTGACAGACAACTGATGCCTGAGTGGCCATAGTCTGAGCTGGGGTTCCCAGGTACCTTGATAAACTCCTGAGGCCCAAGGGGCGTAAGGCCCAGAAGCCCTGGTGAGGGGGCAGAGTGAGAGCCAGTGGTCGTGTAGAGTGGGGCCTTAGGGGGCCTGAAGAACTGCGCATGGGCTGGCTGGAGTTGCTGGAGTTGAGGCTCCAGTGAAACAACATGAGGCCCAGGCATGTCTAAGGACACCTGAGGCCAAGATAGACCAGAGGCCAAGTGCAGCCCAATTAAGAGGCTGGGGGAGTAATAGTGGATAGTGATTTGGATGCCATCTGTGAGGCATGGGGCATGGTAAAAGGAGGGCAGAGCTGTGTATTCTGCCTTTGGCATCAGGGCATTAAATGGGCAGCCTCCTGCCTAAGAACAACTATTTAATCACAACAGAGATGTGGCAGGCGTTAGGTGGGTGGACTGCCTTAGACAGGTGAGCAGGCCGACTTTGGGACTGGCCTACAGACAGCCCCCTGTCACATCTGTTCATTGCACTTACCAGCTTACAGAAGTACTGAATTTGTTCTAACATGTTTTGCCAGTATGTTTTTGTTATAGTAAGTTAAATTAAACTTATAAATTTGTTTCTTTTTATAGGCTCATGTTGCATGTTACACTGCTGTAACACCAGAATGTACTTTTGGAAGACTAAGGAATATGATTCTTCCTCCAAATTGTGTGCATTTATTTTCTCGCAATTTCAGCAAAATGCATTGTTTTCGAATATCTGAGAGTCTGCAAACAGAACCAGGTAAAAGACTTTTAAAATGGTACTGAAAATGGGCTGTGTGGGGAGGGAATTTCCAACTTGTTTGTATCTTTCTATTTGAAATTCTTAGGATTGCTAATTTTGTAGTGGTGGTTTTTTGTTGTTTGTTTGTTTGTTTTTTATGGCTGTAACGTTAACTTCTTTCTTGCCAAGGCTACTATTTGTTCTTTATGAGAAGAGAGTGGTAGTTAGCCATGTTCAGCCCGAAGTTAGACAGGGTAACACCTCATTCAGAGAAGCATGAGCTTTCATAGGGCAGGCTGTAGAGATGATATCCTCCTCCTCATTCCTACACAGGTTTGGTCTACTGCTGGACCCAGAGCACTAAGTCCAACCTGGCAGGTGAGACCCATGTGTGTGGCTACATGCCAGGCTGGACCTGGCATGCCAAGTCCAGGACCCTGGGATTGTGTGCTTGGTTGGACCTGATGTCCAAGTCCTGAACCATGCACTGGTTCTGGGGTTGCGTGACAGTCCCAGACCAGGCACAAGGCTCTGCACCCAGCACATGACTCTAGAACCAGTGTGTGGCTCCAGATTTGTTGCAATGAATCCTTTACTTACCTATCCTTAATGGTAAAAAAATTTCTTTAACTTGTCTGTAAAAATAAGGGTGTGTATTAGGGGTGTGTGAAGCGGGCAGTATTCTATTTGGATTTGGCTCAATTCGGGGGACAGTGATTCAATTTGCTGATTCAGATCACTGTCCCGATTTTAGATTCAGCTGAATCTGAATCTGAAGATTTGATTCTGATTGCGAGAATCAGCGATTCAGCCACAGATACAGTTTTATATGTTTTTTCTACGTACCTTGAGGTACCAGGAGCAGCTCGTGAATGCTGAGATGGTGGGCTGGAATGGAACATCCCATGGGAACACAGGGAGTCCCCTGCGCGCTCGGCGGCAGACCCAGAAGTGGACTGGAAGTACTTCTGGTTTATTTACAGGTCCACTGCAGAGCATGCAGGGGACATGTGTGTCCCAACTTGCCCCCCACCCCAAGCAATCGGCCACAAGGGGACCCTGGTTGCCCCCCCCCC